CCCCCGAGGTGAGATGCTGGCTGCTGAGTGGCACAGCCCCCCGACCCAAAGCTCCTCCAGGAGCACAGGACTGCTCAGCACTGAGCAGCACAAACCCCCCTGGGAGCACAGCTCCACCCGGGGTCACTGAATGTCCAGGGGGAAACAACACACACCTGCCCCTGCCACATCCCTTCACCTTCACCTGCGGCACCAGGGGAGCCTTCAGAAATCATCATTTTAAGCATGAAGGTAAATCAGCTATGAAAATCAGATCATTGCACAGAGAGCCCGTGGGCGGGCTGTACTTGCCTGCAAAGCCTTGGTGCTTTTAACTGGAGACAAGGAGAGGAGTTAATCTGTCTCCTCCTGTGCTTATGTCTGTCTGAGGCTCACATGTGAGCAGGATGTTTTGCACTTCACCACTTCTTTTGTTGTGACTCTCAAACAATTTCCCACTGAAAACCAACAGGCTTGCTGTTGGCATCTTAGTAGAGGAAATTAAATCCAGCATTTCAGTGTTATCTGATTTCACATCCCTGCACATCATTGTATAATTTCACCACCTACTCGTTCTTTTTCTTCACACACAAGTGCATTTAGAGAAAATATAATTGTTGAACGAATACTTAGTCAGAGAAAGGTTGTAATCAGCTTGGATAGAAATCAGACAGCTTATTCACTTGAAAAAAAAGGGAAAGGAGGAGGAAATGAAATGGAATAATTTCTTTCCTGTGAACTTAGGGCACCAAAAAGTTGTATGGTAAACTATAACAAGAGAAGAAAAACAGTTAAAAAACTTAGCAGGCAACAGTATTCCTGAGCTATTGCACTGAAAATAACATGGAAGTCAAAGATCTGATCCATTTGATGTCTTCTGTGTTCATTAAAAAAGAATTTAAAAGTTACAATGAAAGACTCACGAATTTTTCCCAGAGCAAAATAACTGGATGTCCCCTGTAAATCATCAGATATATCAACACTTACCATCAGATAGCAGCAACTGAGTCGTGCTGGGAGAACATGCACAATGCAGACACCTAAGATCAAAACTGGGATTTGAAAAGTTGCTCCATACTGTCTAATCCATCAAAATACTCAGTCCTAGGAAAGAGAACAAGTCTGGCATACTGCTGAACACCTCGGGCACTGAGCTTAGGGAGTCTGTGAGTCCATCCTCTCAGGCACCTTCCTCCAGGTAACTTGCTGTGGGGCCAGCACAAGCAGCAGTCCCAGGCCAGTACCTCACTCTGCTGGGGGCTGCAGGCAGGTGGCCCAGTGGGGACAAGGACAGTTCAGAATTACACTGCATGCAGAAATGCAAACACCCCCAGCGAGACTGGATGTACATCAGGAGCTCAAGTTTAACAAGAGCACATGATCACAAGTGTCAGGACTATCACCCATATTTCTTTTCCGTGACTATGTATTACTATTCTAACTTTCTCATAGACATTTCTGCCTTGGGGGTGTTGGTTGATGAGAAGTTTAACATGACCCAGCAATGTGCACTCACAGCTCAGGAAGCCAATCGTATCCTGGGCTGCATCCAACGCAGCGTGGCCAGCAGGGGGAAGGGAATTCTGCCTCTCTGCCCCACTCTGAGACCCCCCCGGAGTGCTGCATCCAGCTCTGGGGCCCCCAACATGAGAAGGACGTGGACCTGCTGGAACAACTACAGAGGAGGCCACAAAGCTGATCAGAGGGCTGGAGAACCTCTGCCATGAAGGCAGGCTGAGAGTTGGGGCTGTTCAGCCTGGAGACAAGAAAGCTCCAAGGAGACCTTAGAACACCTTCCAGGGCCTAAAGGGAGCTACAAGAGAGCCGGAGAGGGAGTTTTGACAAGGGCATGTAGTGATCAGACAAGGGGGAATGGCTTTAAACTGACAAAGGTAACATTTACATTAAATCTTAGGAAGAAATTCCTTACTGCGAGGGTCGGGGGGCACTGGCACAGGTTGCCAGGAGAAGTTGTGGATGGCCCATCCCTGGCAATGTTCAAAGACAGGTTGGATGGAGCTCTGAGTAACCCAGTCTAGTGGAAGGTGTCCCTGCCCATGGCAGGGGAATTGGACTGGATAAATTCTAAGGACCCTTTCAACCCAAACCATTCTATGATTCTATGATTTATGCAAGTGCGACAGCCATTTAAAGCCTAAGACATTATGCAAATATAATGAGCAAAACTTTTCCAGTTCATTTCAAGTACGAAATAAGTCAGGCTCTTCAGCACTTCTTGAGAGCAGGATAGTGTGGTCAGTCCTCCACTCCAATAATTTTTTGGTTCATATTACTTTCACAGAAATAAGAGAAAGCCCATCTGGGGAGAAGGTCAGGAGCTGGTGTAGGGCAGCTGCCTGCCCACGGGAGGATTCACCTCTGACTTACACATCATCAACAAATATGTGCCTGATTGCCATGTGCATCTGAAGAGCCACCATCTGAAACCTCTTCCAGTGCTCCACAATCTTTCCTGTTACACAGCTCCTCCCTAGTGACTAATCTAAATATTCTTTGGTTAAATAAGTCTATTATTTTCTTGTTCTATTCACCATGAACATAAAAGACACTGAAAAGATGAAAGGAATAAATTGTTCTCTTTGTGTCTTGAGACTTGTATTTCTTTATGCTGTTCTGTAAGCAAAATTACTCAAACTCCATCAATCTTCTTCTATTTCTCATTCTCATATACTTATATTATCACGTTTTCTAGATTTCTATTAAATCTCATTGCTCTTCTCTGAACTGGTTTTCCTAACAAGCATGACATATAAAACTAGACCTGTTATTTCAGCTGATGCCTCTCCAGAGCAGAACAGAATGAGGTATTTTGTCATATGGGTGATACAGTCTTTATACCTCTCTATGTTTCTCTTCATTTTGCAGGATCACTGTGTTGTTAGAATGGGTCACAAAATGAATGCCAGACAACTACCTGACCTTGTTCAGCTATGTTGACCTTTAATTCCTCTCTGTTCTGTTTGCAAAGTTTCCTGGTTCTGTCCAATTCCCCAAGATGATTTTGAATCCTATTTCTACCCTTTAACATGTTTGCAACCTCACCTGTCTCAACATGAAACAACAGTGTCTCTTTTTCCCTCCTATATATCCTGCCTGAAACAGATCACAAAGCAGTCACAAAACCTTGTCCATATGTACCCTGCAATCCAAAAATTTCTGTTTATGCTCTTTTTATTCTGAATCCCTCAATAAAAAAGAAAAAGACACACAGTCATTTGTTTGATGATTTTTTTTTTTTAAAAAGCATATTTTTACTGTAAGGACTGGTTAGAAAATACAGAATAGTGAAACGTCAGACCCTCTTTCCCACAGGGACATGCACCTATGGTGTGTTTGAAAAGTGTGTGTGCTGTGAAAGTAATCTCTACTTATATAGAGTTTTAAAACTGATTCATAATTATATTTAAGACAGTGCTGAGAAATAGGAAGACCCATCCAATGTTTTAAGAACAATTCTTTTCCTCTCTAACTTGTTTTTCATTTTTACAATAGGAGAAGCAGGATTTGAACCTGTGTTAGAAACAGCTCTATATTTCAGTCAATGAAAAAAAGTAGTTATTCCATGTTGTTTAGCAAAGTATTTCCTCTTCTTTCAGTTTCTAAATTTGACTATAAAACTCTGCTTACATCAGAGTCCCACAGCTGGAGAACACAGCGCTCTGGAGCTGGATCCAGTGCACCAAAGCTGTTGATTCCTACTGTCCTGACTCTAAAAAGTGTTAAGGGGTGAATCTGACATCCACAAGGATGAAGTTACTGCAAGCTTTGGTAAAAATGTTAAAGCAAAAAAACGGTTGTCCAGTACTTTGATTTCTCATTGAAGTAAAGAGGGGAACTAAAACCAATGCAAAAAATAAATACAAATTTAAATTACAAATTTTCCTAGTTCAGATTCTGTCATTTATACATATGATGGCAAATAGAAGCCCACTTTAAGGCCATTTTCCACCTTTTTAATTTAAACTTTTAGCTGCATTTTAAGCAACCAGCAAGCTGGGGTAAAGTTATGCAATGATCTCACTCTGTTCAGCTATGCTGGAGTCACACCAGTGCTAGTTCTGCTCAGTCATACCAAGGTAAATACAACCTTTGCTCACACTGGCATAAATTCTTCACTCTGTCAGAGGAAAGAGACAAACAACTGCCCAACTCTAAGGAGCTCCCTGGGGTCCAGCAACGTATCTTGGATAACTGGGACCAGGAACTGTTCTGCCTTTGTGGATTTCAATTGGAATGGAAAGGTTCCTGGTAACTTAAAGGAGTTTGTCCCGAACAGGAATACCTGTAAACATAATGATAACTCATAGAAGATCTCTTGTGCAAGAAAAAGGGGAAAGGGGCTCATATGGAGCAAAAGAGAAAATCAAAGAGAGCAGTAGAAATGTGCATCAAAAGGATGCAATACCTCAAAGCAGGTGAAAATCTTTGAAAAAGACCTTTCAGAGTGTTGAAGCAGGCGAAGCAACAAAGCATTTTGGTCCCAGGACATGCCACGCACCCTAAATACAAAGTGTTCTCACAGTGACATGACTAGTTAGGATTCTGTGTAAAAATTCAACTTCTGACCACAGAGTTCCTTATGCCATTGCTAATGTCATTTAGACACAATTAATTAATATTTGGCAGCTCTGAAAATACTCTTGCTTCATGTGGTCTTGAAGTAATAAAGTTTGAAAGAGTGAAAATATGACATTTGGTTCCTAGCAAAGAGTCACAGAGAGACTCTTTTAGACTCTGAAAATTACAGTTTTACATTATTTCACTAAATGCTGTGTGCAAACAAGCCAGTTCATTATAGTGGCACAGATTATTTCCATAACTAGAAATAACTGGTGACCTGAAAAAAATCCACAATCCATACAACCCAACACTGAGCTGAGTTGCAATTGTCTTATGAGCTGAAGGAATACTTCACTTACAACACTGAAGCTGTTGATGAAATAAGTCAGTTCCTGACTGGGGAGGAGGAACATTTCCCCCTGTGCTAAGAGTCCAGAGCTTCAGATGTACTGCTCTTCATCCGCTCCGTTTATCAGCAATGACCACTTTCCCCCTTCCTCCTGGATGAACCCATTGCGTCTCGGCAGCCTGTCTGAAGCCAAGGAAGAGAGGGACACTTGGCTTGTCTGATCCCAAGGAGATGGTTTGGAAGAGTCCCTCCTCCTATCATCCATTCCAATGTGAACACTGATTTGAGAAGGGGTGAGTGGCTTCATGCGGCCTTGAGCTTGTGCTTCGTAACTCTCCGTGTCTGGCTTCTTGTAACTAAGAAGAGAAAGAGAAAAGATATTAGCAAGAGGTCAATGTGTAGAAGCATCTGGCACTGGAACAAATCAGAAACTTCTGATAACCTAAATGTATTGAAAGTGTTTATATAGAAAAAATAACTTTATAGCTTAATTGCATATGTTTAAATTAAATTTCCTAATAGCTCAGAAACAATTAATTTAAAATGTGTGGTGCAAAGAGTGTAAGGATTCTCAAAAATCAGTTACAAAATAATAATTTTTATTACTGCTTGAATTTTGAGCCTGACAATTCTCTCAAGCCAAGACAAGCACAGAAGTATAAGGGAGGATGATGGGGAAATGCAGAATACTCCTCAAGATGTTTCTGGTCTGAGCTTTCAGTCATTCAAGACCACATACCACTGATTAAGATATGAGCCAGAGCTGCCCATCCCAGCACAGGCATTTCCACCCCTGCATAGCATAGAACAGATCAGCAGTTCTACAACACAGCCTGCTGAGACCTCCTGAAACACAGCTAGATCAATATATGTATTTACTCACTCATTACTGAACATGTCCCTTCCATTGCAAGGAATGACCTTTGCACCAATACAGGTACCAGACTGCAGCCACAGGGCAAGACTACTTGTCCCTTCCAGATATGCTGCACATATGAAACACAGCAAAGGCAACAGAAAGACAGGGAAGTAGTACAGGAAAAGGAGGGAGAAGTTACTCATAAACAAAACAAGGAATACGTGAAATAAGTTTTAAGGAGGAATTTAGAGCATGAGAAAATGTCTGACAGAGGCATAAAGAATACAAGCAGTAGGAGAGAAAATGTGTGATTCAGGGCAAATAAAAAAGGGAACACCCAAAAGTAGGATGGTACATCTGATTAGAGCTGGATTTGAATATACAGGAACTAATCCCCAAGTAGTGCTATATGAAGTAGGAGCATAGTTTTCATTTCATCAGCAAGTATTTATTCCTAAGAGGCAAGCAAAGAGAAAAACAACAACAACAACAACAAAAAAAAAATGTATTGATTTCACCCTCCTTCTACCAAGTATTAAATAATCCAGCAACCAGTCTTTGGTTCCTCAAGCAGGTAATCAATCCTATAAGAGGCACCACAGAGATCTCAACTGTGCTGCTGTCTTTGACAAGCTGAGCTCTTGCAGTCACATACCTGCTGCTATGGGTATTCCAAGCAGATTATAAATTAAGGCAAGAATCAGATTTATTCGTATTCTTCGAACTGTTCTCTTGGATAAGTGAATACTGGCAACTACGTCCAGCAAATCATTCTGCAAGACAGAAGAGCACTGAAAGTTTTCCACATGCAGTCTTCAGAAAACTAAACTAAAATGAGGAGTGTGAGTGATAAAAGAGGACAGGCCAAAACTGTAGTGCTCACTCGGATAAGAACAACATCTGCAGCTTCAATAGCAACATCGGTGCCTGTTCCAATTGCAATTCCAACATCGGCCTTGGCTAGTGCAGGGGAATCGTTGACTCCATCACCAACCATTGCAACCTTCTTCTTTCCATTTTGGAGCTCCTGGACTTTTGCAACCTTGTGAGAAGGAAGAACCTCCGCAAAGACTTTTTTGATCCCAACCTACGTACAAAAAAAGACATCCCATGCTGGTGACATGCTTCATGCTGGAAGGAAGAGCCATTTCTGTTCTAGGTGAAGGGCAAACAGGAATATCAACTAAACTGATTCTGGTGAAGTCAACATCTGCAAGGTATACAGAAAACTGCAGAGCAACACACCTTTGGCATAAGAAAAGGATTGATAACAGCACCCTCCTACTGCAGAGATGCTGGCAAACCATACTCTGCCCTTCACTTCATGCCCTGCATGGCTTCAGGAGCTCCACTGCCCCAGCAATAAAGATTTGTCTTTGAAAAACCTTCAGGGGTGGTGACTCCACCATTTCCCTTGGTCCTGCTCTTTTGACCACTCTTTTGCTGATCCAGGCCAGGATGCCATTGGCCTTCTTGGCCACCTGGGCACACTCTGCCTCATGTTCGGCTGCTGTCAAGCAGCATCCCCAGGTCCTTTCCTGCTTAGCAGCTTTTCACCCACTCTGCCCCCAGCCTGCAGTGCTGTAGGGGTTGCTGTGACTCAAGTGCAGGACCTGGCACTTCACCTTTTTGAACTTTTTTTTTTTTTTTAATTAAGTGCCTTGAGAGGTATATGAACAGGAAACAAAAGGTCCTAGTTAATATGGAACTAAAGGGTAGGATGTAAAAATTTGCAGTAAGATAATATATGTTAAAGGTAACTGTTCTAAATGGGAAGATAATGCAAACTTTGCTGTCTGATGGACCATTCTTCTGTCCAAAAGAAACATTGCTGGTTATGTCTCATTGTCTATGTATTGGGTGGAATTTTCAAGTACCCATCACTGTATCTAATTCTCCTTTAAGTTTCTGAATTGCAAAGAGAGATCAAGAGTTGTGGAGACAGCTTCAATTTTTGTTAAGGTACATTTTTGTCCCTCCTGTTCTTTGCCTTCTTCTGCCCCATATCCACCTTTCTCTTGCACATAGCCTGGTGGGTGGTTGGTGCTGTTGGTTCATTCTCCCTCACACTGCAGCTGGCACAGGGGTAGCACAGGGCAGATAATCACTTACCTTGTGATTCCAAGGATGTGATAACTCCATTATCTCCCAGAGAAGCACTGCTGTCCCCACTCCTGCTGGCATCCAGCTTATTGGGACCTTCCTCAGCTGTGCCAAGGATGGCCTCAACTCCTCCGACCTTGCAGCTGATACCACAGCCTGGGACTGCCTGGAAGTTGGTGCAGTATCCCAGGCTCTCAGTGCCAAGCTCCTGAAGATGTAACCAGAGGCCATCATCAATCTGTGCTGCCCACGTGGGATACAAATATTAGATAACTCTTGACAAAAAAGAGGCCTCATTCCTCCTCTTGACAATGACTGACCAACTGAAAACTAGCCTGGAGTATCAGTAGCACAGAACTAAAATAAGGATGCTCTGGGTGTGCTGTGGCTTAGACTTCTAGAAAGGGACAGCAATACAGATCACAGCCAGGTCTCAGCCCTAGCAACAGCAAACCATAAGGAACAGCTTCCTCTGGTAGTTCAAGGATGAAAAAATTAGATTGGTGGTTCATGACTTCACCCAAGACTAGGAGCGAAAAAAAATTTCAACATTAAGAGACTCAGCTGACAAATGATGCAACTTCTAATTAACCTCACAGACAGGTTGTGGTGGATCAGACCTTTTTGTAAGAGTACAGTGAAAAATTGTATCTAAATTCTGGAGGAATCTGTCTGGATGTTAGAAAAACTGGGTTTTTCTGTTGAGTTAGGGAGAGAAGCCAGTGAGTACCTTCAAGATGAGATAAAGGGATCATCAGGACAAGTTACCAAAAAAAATTTGAGAAAATATTAATTTGTAAAGGTATTCTGGGTTGTCTGCGGAAGTTGGAACTATATGTACCTCTCAGTGATCTTAAAACACAGGGATGACTAGGCAGGAGATAAGAACATCAGCCAACACTACAGCATTACAATGCATATAAGCCATGATCCAGTAATAACTGCTGCATGGGATGACTACAGAACTGTCAGTACTATAACAAATTTTAAATTAAAAATGTAAAATACAAGAAAGGCAATTGGTTTGCTGCCTATATTCTCTTTTTCCTTCTAAATTTGTCGTTTTACTTCTAAATTTTGTCACTGAAAGATCTAGCAAATTTGATCTATTTTTAAAACTATTTTTCCCTAAATTTGCAAGACTTGAGTAATTGATCAATTCATTTGTGAAACTCACAAATATTACAGTTTAATATTCAAGCTTTAAAGCCTTTTGCCTGATTTATTTAGATGAGCAAGTGACTAATAGAAGTGACTACAGTCAGATAATATGAAATGTCATCACACACATTTTGCTTCATGATGTTATTTTAAGCATAAGTATTCCTCCTGCATATATTCCTTATTGTCTCATTAGTTCAAGATAAACTTAGCAAGATCTTCCTTCAGAACTCCACGTTTTTACCAGAAAAGCACAGCTTAGATAAATACACTGGTAACATCCAGACCAAGATGTACAACCATGCAATCTCCCAGCTTTCCAGTCTGTTACTGTTTTCCTCTGGGACCTGATAATTTTATACAACATTGTTGCATTTTCACAGATGCCTTCAGGCCCTGGATGAAATAGGAAGGCTAAATACCTCTTTGCAGTATTTAGTGACAGCCATTCCTAAAGGATGCTCGCTGCTGGCTTCTGCTGTACCAACAACAGCCAGTACCTTCTTCAGGGGCAGCACAGCTGTGTCTCCCATCAACAGCACCCTCATTACTTTAGGAACTCCATAGGTGATGGTCCCAGTTTTATCAAACATCACAGTCTTGATCTGCAAGAAAACAACAGTTACTGCCTAAGCCCTGCAAGCACAGGGATACTTGCATGTTTATGGCACATAAATACAGTCAAGACCTTAATAAACCGTTGACTATATCCACACAAAGACAGAATAAATCTACAGAAGCAGGGATTCCTCTAGGTACCTTGAATTATCTGTACAGCAGGTCTCCTTATACTTTCTTATTGATTCCTCATAAAGCTTCAAGATCATCCTGTGCTCGTATCAGGATCCCAGACAACAGTGTAATTGTAGGACTGAGATGCATACACAAAGGACAGAACACGCATTCACAGGCAGGAGTCATGTACTGGCACCTTAATCACCTTTACCACAAGGTCTGTGATGCAGAGGGCTTTTTTGAATGCAGTTCTAAACAACAATAGCACGGAGGAAAGAGGACTCAGGAAGTGGTTTGGTCTTAGAGAAGATGTAAAGGGCGCAAGAAGTTCAAGAAACAATAACCTAAGCAAAATCGATGTCATGCTATTCACCAAATTCAGCCACCACTTGCCAGCCAGGCCAATGGGTCTTGAGGAATCAGAAATGAACCAAAAAACACAGCCCCACATATACTGGAACCCAAAGATAAAGTCAATTCTAATCCTGAAAATAAACACAGTAGAGAGAAACACAAACCCCACAAACTCAGCAAAGTAGGCACTTATTCCACATCCAGCTATTCCAACACACCAACCTTGCAGAATCACACAGGTCACCTAATTTTCAAAGCCCTGACCATAGCCTTGCTTGGATCCAAAAGGTAAAAACTTCCAGCATTAATTAGCAGTCTTTTTTATTTTCTCCAGAGCCTTGGAAAAACTTCTGGTCAAGTAATAACACGAATTATCAGTCTAATTAACTTGCTGTTACCATCCTCTTCCCTTAAAATGTTCTGCATATGTCTAATACAGCCTATCACAGCATGGTTATGATTAATTTTCTTTTCAGTGGCTATGGACATGTCAAACCTCTTTCTCATTCAACCTCTTCCTCCTCTTTGCATAATTTTTGTCTTTGAAGGTTTTTTCCTGCCTCCCTTCTGTCTTTCTTGTCTATACACTAAAACAACTTCAAATAATTTTTTTCCTTGCATTTGACATTTTAAACTACTGATCATGAACAATATATATTTCACAACAGGCCTCAGAAGAAAGAAAAAACTTCAGTGGATTATTGGCTCTTTTGCAGAAGAGGATTAGCACAAAGAGGATTGCCATGAAGAGGATTAGCAACCTCACAGTCATGAGATTGTAAGGTATGTTGGCTCTCAACACTTTGCTGTGACTACTTTGAAGAAGGTTTGATTTACCTTCTTAACCTTAATGAGCAGCAATCAACTAAAGGAAAAAAAAAAAAAAAAAAGAAAAAAAAAAGGAACAACTTTCCATCGTCTTTCTTTGGTCATGCAGGATTTCCTGGGGAATTATATTACATATAGCAATAGTTGGGTAAGCTACAAAAGTACAGAATGAACTATTAACCTGATGTGCCATTTCCAGGGGTTTTCCACCTTTGATGAGAATACCATTCTGCGCAGCCACTCCTGTGCCCACCATTACAGCTGTGGGGGTAGCCAGGCCTAAAGAGCAAGGGCATGCAATGCTCAGCACAGTGATTGAGGTTTGAAATGCAAACCTCAGTATTATTTCAGCTTTTGAAATGTTTTTGCTCTGATTCTGCAAGAAGAGGGAAGAGAAGGGGGGGAAAAAAATAAAGAAAGATATGTAAGATTGCCAACAGCAGATAACACAGGTGTACAATCAATCAAAGTCGTTTCAGAAAACACATTTATCTGGAAAACTTCAGTACAGGAAATCAATCTATTATTGTTACTGTAATGCTAAAGAAAGGTCAATGTTATGAATTGTTTATGGCAGTGTTTTCTGGATTTTTTGCTGCTCAAGCATACAAATGTTTGTTTCTGCTCTGAGTCTCCCAGACGTCAACATAACTTGTTGGAATTTCCTTTAAAGCTTAACAAAGGAGAACACTATTTCCAGGTACAGAGATCCCCCCAGCTGATGAGTACAGCAAATACACATCCTAAAGATAACAGAAGCTCAGCTTCTTTCTCAAGCCAAAATCACTATCTGCCGTCAGAAACAGGAATGCCCACAAAAAAATCAGACATAACAGGAATGGCTCAGCTCCTTGCAATGCAGCTATAAATCATGTTTAGTCCAAAAATGCTGTCAATAATTTCCATTTTTAAGAACCCCATGCAGAACTAAGGGATAAATGCAAAAGTATATTTATGCCTGCAGAGAGATTTTAAATAGCATAATTATCTGCTCTGTGCAGAAAATACCATGTTTCACAGAAGTATTTACAGAATATTCTGGGTTGGAAGGGACTCACAAGGATCATCAAGTCCAGCTCTTAAAGAAAAAGGCCCATACAAGGATTGAACACACAACCTTTGTGTGTCAATTGGTTATTACCTAACCAATTGAGCTCCTCTCTGGGTGATTATAACATCAAAACTTGTATAGAAAAGGTATGCTAATTAGATTGGAAGACATCCCAACACAAAAATCCAGTTATAATAATAAAACTACTTACAGGAAAATATTTTTTAATAATATCAAAATTTACAAAACCAATTGTGATCCATACTATCAATGTCACAGTTGAAATGATGATGATAAATGGAACAAAGTATCCACTAAATTTATCTGCCAGTTGCTGGATGGGTGCCTATAAAAAACAAACCCAGTTATTTGCATGTTCATGGTTGAAACACATAAATATGCAGAGTTCATGAAAATACACAATAGTTCTGGAAAAACACAGTTTGCTGAATTGTGTAAGTATCAAAACATAAAATCTTTTTATTATACAATCAAAGTCTGTGAAAAAAGTTTTCTTCTCCATTATTTTTACCTTTGACATTTGAGCTTCTTCCACCAATTTCACAATCTGTGCCAGAGTGGTATCACCACCAACATGAGTTGCATTAACAAGAAGTGACCCATATGCATTTATAGAACCAGCAATCACTGTGCTCCCAGGCTTTTTAATGACTGGCATAGGCTCCCCTGGAAAGAAAAAGTATGAATAAATGAGCCAATACCCCTAACAGCATAATCCATTAGCACACAGCTCATTCAATGATAGCAAAATCAGTAGGCTAAGCAATAACGACCCAGAGATCACATTCTGGGTATCTCTGTCTGGTGAAGACATGGATAGATAGCATTATATTTTTATAAACCTTTATATAGGAATAATTTCAAAGCAAATGCTGTTTCCTTGGTTGTAACTTTTCAGTAAACCATCCCTCAAAAGGGCAAAGAGCAAATTGGTAGGAAAAGGTACTTCTAGGAATTTCTCCATTAACACCTGGCATAGCAATGGGAGTTTGAGAAATCTGTCTTTATCTCCATGACCCTGAGTTTTCAAAGACCAGAAAGTTTTTCTGTGGAAAAAGCTCCTGTTCTCCTGCTACTTCTGCATGAATACTAGCTCTAGAACATCTTTATTTTCTCTATTTTTAGTGGTAGCAATAAAAACTGGTTCCCTGAAGCTAAAGGTGTCCCTGTTTCCAAGTAAAGTAAAAACAGAACTAGCACAAGTAATCCAATGCAAATGCAAATTTTTATACATTTTACTTTATTTATAAGAATTGTAAAATGCATTGAATCCTTACTATATTTACAAAATGAAATTAAAATTTCAGAAGACGTAAAATGTCCTGTGATCCTTAATAAACTTCAAATTTTGAGGCTTTCTTTCCCCCTCCTTGCTCAGTGAGAGAGCCCTGTCATGCAACTCCAGCATCTCATCAATATTTCTACATCATCCTTTAGAACTTATTTCTGAGAAGGTACCATCTCTACAAATACATTCCAGGGGAAACTCCAGCCACATCACTGGAATAATGACAATACTGTTATGACTCTATCCATCCCATCACTAGGTTAGTAAGTGGCCAGACTGAGAGGAAAACCTTCTGTTTTTTAAGGTGTGCACAGATGCAGGATTTGAATTCAAGCTTACAAAGCCACAGCATCCATTAAGGTGGGCGGCTGTTGAGACAGCAGTGTTTGGGTTGGGTCTGCTCTCTTTTCTTGTAATAAAGAGCTCCAGAAGATTTCACTTCTTTGTGTAAGATAAGGGAAGTTACCAGTAATGAGAGACTCATCTGCCATAGAACTGCCGTCAATGACCTTTCCATCCACTGGGAACTTTCCACCAGGAACAACTTTTATAATATCACCCCTTTGAACCAGTTCAACAGGTACTTGCTCCTCCCTGCAAAAAACACATGTAGAACAGGCAGGTTACTTATGTTATCAGCTTTCAGGTTAACTGGATCAAGCCTAGTTTGTGACCCAGGCAGGCTGAAGGGATTTTGATGCATAAATACATACCTAACAATAGAGTGGCCAGGTCCAAGAGTCACTACAGTGGCTTCTGTGGCTTGAAGAGACATAAGCTTAGCAAGAGCTTCTGAGGTCTTACCCTAAAAAACAGAGATTAATGCTTAAGATACATTGAGATATATAAATGCTGATGTGTACTTAACACAATGAACTCTAAACAACCTTTCATATTATAGACTACACCAGAAACAGCTGACTCAAAATTCCTCTGAATAGTTTATTCTGTTCCTATCATAAATACACAACATTTGTGTGAAGATGAGTTACCTTGGCTATGTGCTCCAGCCATCTGCCGAGCGCAATGAACACAAACAACATCGGAGGAGTGTCGAAGAAAGTGACAGGGCTTTTCTCTGCCTTTTCAATGATTGCTACTATCAGGATCACGCAGGAATACACATAAGCAATGGTCGTGGCCAGTACGATGAGCACATCCATATTGGCCGTCTTGTGCCTCAGGGACTTGTAAGCTTGTACATAAAAATACCATCCACCAAGGAACTGTTGGTGTGAGCAGGACAGACTCATATTGAGATCACAGAGTACATAATACTGCCCAGAGCAGAATTAAAACCATGCAGGACATAAGGGAAGGCACTGCTGGCCCAAGGAAATTTGATAGTGATATAACTTCAGATCTACTAGGAGACTGACTCCATTGACATTCTCTCATTTGCACTTCCTTTTTCTCAAAACCAACAAATATCATCTTTTACCTCAACAATGAAAAGTACACAAGGCATAGAAAATGAAAGGATTTACCTACAGCTACCCAATTTGTTTGTAGATGATTAGGTATCTCTTTATTTTAATATTACCTTCTCCACTTGGAAACTATCTGATGCAACTTTGGCAGGAGTAAGAGCTATGAGTAAAAACAGAAAGGATAACTTGCAGAAAAATGCCACTTTGTTCTGCTTAGGTGGTACAGACAAGAGGGCAGGCCTAATCCACTCAATCTTTCAATTTCTGTCTTTATCACATCATATTACATAAATGGGACATGAATACAAAGCAAACCCCTAGGAAGTAGTATGGACATACCTGAACAAAAGTGCACAGGATGAAAAAGAGAAGATTCAAAATAGATAATCCAGGAATGAGGTTCTGTTCCAGCACCTTAGACCCATGGCCTTCACCACTGGGTATTTGCATATAAATCATTATAACTACAACTGGGATACCAAACACTAGGCTGTACAAGAAAGATTTCCTCCACCTGAAAAAGAAAAACTGTAAATCCATGGGTTTTTTACACCTCACTCAGGCCCAACTGTGCTGGTAGTGCAGGACTGGGGTTATTAGCACTGTACTAACACATAGCATTGGGATATTTGCAAAGATCCAGTATTTTGGAACAACTTCAGTGTCTGCAACATGTTTAACTGTATAGACTTCTGGCAATAAAAACTAAAACTAATGAAAGTATTAAAAGTAATTGAATGAAATGGCGAATGGTAAAATTAAATATGCTTTACACAAGAATAATCTAATTAACTGGGAAGAGTGCTGGGGGGAGTAGAGTTACAAGACATGATCTAGACATGTTCTTTAGTGGGACAGAAAAGAAATACTTACTGCTGTATTTCCTTTTTATGACTCAGGTTATGTGCATTGGGAGCTCTTTTAGCCACAGAAGCATGAAAGCCAATTTCCTTTTTATTGAAATGGAAGTAAAGATAAGTTAGTTTTGATGAAGATAATCATATTACTTACAACATATTTAAATTACACTACTTTTAGAAGAAATGTCAGAAAGGGACACTGTTCTGTGTTTAATAAATTCCAACCCCTTATTTACTTTTAGATTCTGCCAAAATGAGAGGATATTTCAGTCAGTAATCAAAATTTGGACTGCAAAGGACTTCTGGTACCTATACATGAACACAGTGTATATGCAGTGTGTCCAAGTTCTTAGGCATGGGGAGCTTCCACTGAGAGCTGGAATTCTACTGCACTCCTCCTTAAGGAAAATATATGCCCTATCACCCCCACCGGAATAATCAGGAGATATGAGACATACCACAAAGGAAGTTTAAAAGCACAAGCCACTGGGAGCTTGACAACCTTGTGAGCAAGTCCCTAACACTGCAGTTTAATAAACACACCTGAAGTTGAAAATTAAAATGTTAGTTAGTTTAATCCCATAGGACAACAGACTGCAGGGCAAAGCAGCCCAGAAACAAAAACAAACAAGTTTTGAGTCACTTGGGTGAGTTACCGCAGTTGAATCATGCCTCCTGCCCAAACACCCTAAAAACCCAAAGCACACTTGCAAGAGCAATACACTTAAGCTTCCTACCTGCATCATGACATGCTTCTGTAGCAAAGTGTGCTTTAGAGAACCACTCTGCCAGCCTGAACAGTCTACTAGTTAACATGCTAATAACTGCTGCTGCATCATTTCTGTGGTCTAGCAGCTCTTTTCTGAATAAATATTCTAGAGCATGGAAGGCAAACAGTCTCTGCTGTCCTCCTGACTATTCACTGCATGCACCTCATATAGTATCATCTCTTCCCTTCTGGTGGGACAAAAAAGAAAAAGGTTTTGTCCACATCTGGGCCATCATAACAGTAGATTTTATGATCTGTGTGATTACTGGTAAACCAGGATTTTTTCATTTAATATCAGGCTGTTTCCATTCAAAAAGATGTAGGGATAGATGCAAGTGCGTACAGAGATATCTAATGCTTGTGGCATGAGCTGTGGCAAAACTTCCTTTACAGCCTTTGTCACTGTCAAGAGAAAGAAGTACTTTTTTTCTGAATTAGCAACACTTCACTGAAATGACTGTGATTTTACACACAGAATTCCAAGAAATGAATATATGACATTTTTGCCAGGTAAAGATAAAAAAGGTTTATTTTGTAGTTTTTAGTGTGTGCTTTTAGAGTGTGTTTTTAGGCTGGGGAGCCTGTGCATTCCTGTGGAGCACAGCAGCCTCACCACAAGAGCATTAGAACATGGCAATAACTATGGCATCTACAAAATCAGTGAAACCTCTCAAATATCAGCTGCTTTATTTCCTTCTAAATTGCAACGTGTAATTGTCCATACATAAAAAATTTCCAGAGCCTACCTTGATTACTTTTATAATATCTCGAGGTCCAATAATTTCAGGATCGAACAGGATATGAGCTTTGCTAGTTGCAAGTGCAACTGAGGCAGAGAATATGCCATTTGTTCTCATGAGTTTGGATTCAATATTGTGAACACAAGAAGCACAAGTCATCCCTATAATCTAAAGAAAAGACAATTTTGGGTAGTTAGCAATCCCCCACATTCACCCAGTATTTGTGGGTGTACTTGAGACAAGGCCTCAGCGTAAAGGTTTTATAGAGCTGTCTTAAATGATACAGAGCTGAGAACATAACTATCCACTTTCATTATAAAATTGTGCAGACAGCAGATATAGTCACAGCCATGTATTTGCATGGTAGCACTCAGACACGCTATTAACTGTATAAGTGTAACTAATATGGTTCTATCAACACCTATATTAACATTGCCAAAGCCAAACTCTTCATGTGTAACTTCATCTCTCTTAAATTTTCCTGTGGCTTCAATAAGGCATGTTAACACTTCGTGATCTATAAACACAGCAGCAGACTGATGTTCTCTGTCTTGCAGTAAATATCTGTCAGAGAATAAAAATTAATTTTTGAGGAATCCATCCTTCAAAAAGCAATTTACTAATTTTACTGATTTTATCCCAAGTTCCTAGACTTCTATGCAAAGCCCTTAACATTAGCAATACATATTTGTTGACAAACTCTCAGTTACTCAGAGTCTGTACTAAAGTGTCTCAATGGAAAACTTCTGTTTCATTTGTGCTTGCTAAGAAAAGTCTAATCGGTACATAGAACTGTCATTTTTTTATTTCAGTGCTTTTGGGTCGGTTCTAAGACAAGTTGACTTTTTCTTTTCAGCAATTATAAAAAAAATTGTGTCACCAGCCAGAACTGAGCTGCTGAAGCCACAACTGCTCAAGCTAAGCTATTTGCAAGAAAATCAGTCTTCCAGACCCGACTTTTCCAAAACAAACATGTAATTTCAAATACACATGACTTACAAGAAGCTCCACTTGCCCTTCTGTTTCTGCATTATTTTCCATGATGGTAGCTTCAAAACCCAAATTCTGGATCAGCTGTGCTATTTCAAGAGGTTGTATGAGTTCTGGCTTGTATTTTATCTCTGCTTTACCTGCCATCAGTGCTACCAACACTGAAACAATTCCTGCAGTGGCAATAACAAAAATATTAGTTAATGTAGCTTCTTTAAGGGAAAGAAAAATAAAATATTACAAGTGATTGTCAGTGAGGACAGCAACACTTTAGAGATATTATAAGCCTGATGATTTCTCTCTGCCTCCTTCTAGTGTTGCTCCCTAGTCACAACAGCAATGTTTTTACAGAGACCCAGCCACACCGAGTCTCCCTTTAGCAATGAGAGGAATTGCAAGATTTACACAGGAAAGGAGGTGAGTTTTGCTGTGATCTAATGAGAGAAAAAGGATGTTTGTAAGCAACCTTCAAATCCACTGCTGCAAGATCTACCCTAGACTCGTAGTTTGGAATGAACCCCACAGCACAATGCTATCCCTTTGTATTTTTCTGTTCTCCACCCCTCCTTATTTTTTTAATAAATAAAAAAGCCTGCAGAAATCTACATTTAGAATTGAAAATCAAAACATAAAGATCACAAGGCAAAAAAAAAAAAAATTGGTTTGAAGAGCTAATGCTTGTTTTGATTTCTAAATCAAGGCAGTGAGACCACCACTGGGAGACTGGAGAGAGAGTAATCAATAAGCAAAACCTCCCAAAGGCATGCTGATACAAATGAAACCAGACATTGCTAGGGCTCATCTGTTAATCTTCTACATGGCCAGAGGAAAGGCAGCCCCAGCCTGCAGACTTCTAGACCAATAAACACCACTGTGCCTAAGCTTACCCTGGCAGTGGAGCCATATATTTGTTTGCACCTGCTTGTGCAAATATGCCTGAGCATGCCCGAGCTCTCAACGGCTCTGGAGGAGATGGATTGCTTTGTAAACCAACAAGGCCCTGAAAACTAAATGACAACCGTTTCTCTGTTCTTGTCTTCAGAGTTATTTGAATTTTTTTATCACTTTACAACCTGCTACAAGTATGTTCATCATGTTTGCCCACCAGTGCAACAGGATAGTTAAACAGTGACATAGTTACATTAGCACTAAGACAGAGCATTAAGTCTATTTAACTTCCAGATGTTGTATGACAGACTCTTCTATCAATCTCATAGAACATCTTTTCCATCCCATCATCCCTTATCGTTAGACTCATTATGGGAACCTTAAATTTATTACCATCTTCTTTCTGCAGATTTCTTTCAATGGTAGACACACATGATGCACAGGTCATGCCTGTGATTTGTAAAACACATTTTTCTTCTGTGGCTCCACTGAGCTGGTTTGACCCATCAGGGTGAGGACTGACTGGAAGAGCATCTGAGGAACTGCCTTGGTGAGGAGGCTCTGGAGCTCGAGGCTGCACAGCAGCTTTGCTGGCATCAGGCTGGCACCTTTGTTCTCCAGTGGCGGTATCTTGAATAAATGCACAATACACTGAACTATTTACAGTGGTACTGGATGACCCAAAAGTACAAACAAGTCACATTTATCAACCACACAAACATTCACAGTTGTTTAGAAGGTGACACAAGGCCCTTGGTCTCTATATGGAAATAATATAAGTTGTTACTATGCTTATGAAAATACATATTCACCTGTGCCACTTCCATGACCATCTAACTCTACAAAACTAGCTTTCCACATTCAGATGGCAAATGATTCCCTCCAATTTCAATGCCCAGAGCTGTCAGCTACCTCCACTTGCTAAAGATATATTGGTATCTAGAGGGTCCTTATCCAGCACAGAGAAAATACTCCAGTCGTACCCATTCTGCCATTGTTGCCATCTATGCAGGACTCATATTACTTCATCTCAAACAAGGAAAACAACAAGTTTCTCAACAGGTTTCCCTTCATGGCACAGTATTCACACTGCAAGTACTGCAAAATGAGTATTGGAAGCACCCCAGAGACCTGAACACAAACAGGCCTCTTGCAAACATTTTTATTCTTTGCCAGATATTGAACAGACACACAACAGTTCCAGGTGTGCTCACAAACTACCTCCCTTGGGCAGAGGTTTGTGTAAAGGAGCAGGAGTTGCTTCAGAACATGCAAAACACAGGGGGGTCCCTCCTTTTCCAGATGGAGTGGAAGCTCTCCTACCAACAAATTATAAACCAAGCTAATTATAATTAAACACCACACACAGGCTCCTCCTCATTTGTAGTAGTACCACAGATTCAGAGGGATTGGACCCATGAGAGAAGGGAATAAGATGTGTTTTTTTGTGATCAAACTACTTAATTTCAGGCAAACTACATCAGTATTTCAAAGCAAATATGTTTAGTTGAAGCAGGTAAAAATTGCCACATTTGAAATTTGTGAGAGAGGAGTTTGTGCATCAAAACAACTTTTTAAACATTCAGCACATGTACAAAATGCATGCACTGATGCAACTGACATGTAAAAGCAGCTGTTCCCAACAAAGAGTACCTGCATTTTGCCACTTAAAGCAAGGTTTGGTGAAGTAAGGCAGGTAAAAATACTCAAGAAATAAAGGTCAAAGGCTAAAGACACTAAAAAGAGGTTTTAGCTTGGTAAAAAGTGGTTTTAAATGAAAAATACTCCATTAAGTTTGTAAGTTTTAGTATTCCAGAACATAAATGTAAACACTTGGGTTGACAGATCTAGTTACAGCAGCCTGCAGACATAGGAGGAAACCTGCTTCAGAGGGCAAGGGGATGAGCTATTTGAAATGCTTTGTACCTCAGACCTTTTGGCTTCATAATGTAACTCAGCTCTTGCGCCCACTGCTGCAGTTGTTAAGGGCTGAAACAAGGTGCTTTACAGCTGAAACCTCTCTCCCTTGCTAAGTGAGGTTGGGTCAGGCCAGGCATTCAGAACAGACAATGTCAATGTGATGCTTTAAGAGTTTCTCTCCAGAAAGGAATCTCAATGCAGACCTTGCATGACCCACCTTGGCGTGCTACCCATAGAAGAAAAAACACTGTTACCTGTCAGCACAGAGGCATCAAATCCCATGTCTTCTATGGCAGCTCTTAACTCTTCTCCACTAGTGACCGCTGGATCATAGTCTATGGTCCCAGTACTGCCAGCTAAAGAAACTGCTACGTGCTGCACTCCTTGCCTCTGTGACATGGCCCCTTCTATGGACTGTACACAAGAATTGCAGGTCATGCCATCAATCTTAATAACAGCCGTATGTGTCGTGCCTTGTGGTGGCTGTCTGACGACACTGTATGTGAAAGCACCTGAGGGAGATGCTGCTTTGTTTGCCTCTGAACTACTAAGGAGGCTTACTTTAAAGTTTCCAGGTGGAAGGGATTCCATAGCTTGCTGCAAAGCTGACAGGGTCATTAAATCTGGGCTATACTGTACCACAGCATGTTTATGCTCCAAAGACACTTCAATACTTTTTATGCCAGGAAGATCTGACATGTTTCCTTCGATGTTTCTGACACAGGACTTGCAGTGCATGCCCTCTATCTGTAGAGTCACTGTTGCTGTGCTACCCATCTCAGGGACCAGCAGATCCAGCCCATCACTCTCAAGACTTGCCGGTGTCTCCCTGGGGTTTGCATTCTGCAAGCGCTGGAAATCAAGGGCACCCAGCTTCAAAGGGGCTGATTTACTTTTAATGGTGCAGTCATACCCCAGGTCACTGATGTGTCTCTTGAGGTCATCAGGCTGAATGATGTAAGGATGGTAAGCAATAATTGCTTCTTGGTTATCAAGTGACACCTTGATTTTTGCTACACCATGCAGTTTCTTAATCTTTCCTTCAATGTTGGTGACACAGGACTGGCATGTCATGCCTTCCACCCGAAGCTTAGTTACTGCTTCTTTCAAGCTCGGCAAATTTACAGTTGCTGTTGTCAACTTCTCTTCTGCTATGTTGGCATCAAAGCCCATATCCAGAATTTCCTGGCAAATCTGTTCAGGGCTTATTTCTGACTGCAGATACTTGATAATAGCATTGTTCTGTTCAAGGGAGACTTTAATTCTCAAAATGCCCTTCACCTTGGAAATTCGGCCTTCTATCGACTGCACACAGGATTGGCAGGTCATTCCCACAATGTTGACTACCACAGTGTGCTCTTGGGAAGGTGGAGAGGGCATGGTTTCAGAGCTCGCCTCATAGCCCATGTTGTCAAAAGCAAAATTATGTTTCATTGTAGGCTTCAGCTCACAACCAGGAGGAGAATCGATGTTGGACAAAGCCTAAGGAGAAAGTGGAAAAGTGAAAATAAATGCATGTATCCTTAGCCCTGTAAAAGCAACAACCTTCATATGCTCTCAAGCACATACTAGAAGTGCTCTCAAGTTAGTCTATGTGGCCAAAACCCTTTCCAACATTATTTTACACTTTGAATATATTACCAGTGAGTTATGCCCATGATGATGAATCAGGCCTCTGACAGTCTCTTGAGCAGCAATTTAGAAAATACTGACTAGGGATATAAAAGCAGAATTGACTCAATATTCCTACCCCAACCAAGTAATTTAAAATTTGAGTTCACTACAGCCACAGGACACTTCCATCACACAGCCTGAGCTGCTCTTCCAGAGCACACTGTCACTGGCACAGTGGGTCACAGTAGAGAGTGTGCTGAGGGCCTCTCCAAAAAGGTCATAAACTGGCCCAGTTTTGCCAACCTGCTACTTCCCAGGAGGAGTTCAAACCAAACCAAAGAAAACCAAAAAGCCCAAGAAAACAGAATCGTGACTTTTCCAGAAGCCTGAAACAAGTTGGTGCAGGGAGGGTCAGCTGCATGATATTTGAAGAGCTATTTGCACACACACAAAGGCCTGGGCTCTGCATTTAATACGTAATCCTTTTTACTTGAAATCTGTATCTAACAAAGACCTTGAAAGACACAGAACTGTAAGCCAATATTTTCACAATGGTTTAATTTTATTTACCGTCTTGTGAGGCACCTAAGACTATAAATTGTGCTACAGTAAGTCACTGATTTGATCCAACACTGATTTTCAGGATGGCCAGTACTGAAATAGGCCAGCCACAAGCGAACTATCTCTCAGTCAGATCACAACCTCTGCAATACTGGAACTCTACAGCTGAATGCACTCAATTCAACTGAAAATGAATTTTTGTTTTTTTTAAAGAGTGCCAATGCTTCTTACAGAACAAGTACTGAGAGCTCCAGTTGTTGGGGCCATGAGATGAGAAAGAATGAATAGGGCAGGGACAAGTCCTAGATTGTCAGATTTCATGGAAAGAACATGAAAATTCATGTCCATGATTTAAATATTAGAGATTTAGATTAAAGCTACTAGGATATTCTGTTATCTTGCCTGCAAAGCCTTGGGCTCTCTGACATTCAAGAAAACACCTGATGCTGGGGATTACTGCAGGGAGAGCCTGGAGAAGGGCCCACTGGATCAGGCTCAGTACAGCAGATCCTGTTCCTATGACCCAAAGAAAACTTATTTCTCAATACCACAGCATGGATGAGAAGCATTTAGGCTGCTTAGTAACACTAGACTGCATCCACTTCATTTGATGCAGTATTCAAAATTCATTAACTTGATTTTGTTTCACGCTTAGACAGCTTGGGAATAATGAGGTCTGGGGCCACAAAACCAGCAAAAACTTAAGACAAAAAATTTGCTTTCAGACTTTTCTATACTGTATTTGTTAGAAAAGGAGGAGGAATGAGCAAATTCAACTCTTCAAGATTATGGTGCAGCCCCTCAGCTATCTTGACAGCAAACTCTCTCTCCTGCTCCCCCTCTTCTGCTTGGCCTCATGGCTGCACTCCAGGGATGCTGGGGAAGAAGAGTCAGAGGAATATTTTAGTCCTGGCATCCCCTTTTGCCTCTTCCTCCCACTGGCCTGGCACCACCCAGGACACTGCTCTCCTTGCACCTCCCCTCTCATATATTAGTGAAATCCCCAGTGTACATGGAAACGTGCCACAAGCACCTCTTTTCAAAACAAAGTATTAACAGGTAATCAGACTTCCCTGTGAAGGTGGTGCCCTGTTTAAGCACCACACAAAGAGAACCAGGACATCCCCATTCTTGTGTCCTCCTATTTTTGTGACTTCCCACAATTTGAAATAATAACCTGGCCTTGTGTATGGGAAAAAAAACCTGTCTGAAAACAGTCTCCCAGCCACCACATTTCACATGTGGGCTAAACTCAAACTCGCATTGATGGTGAATTCTGCCTGAAGAAGGTGAGTATTGTCTGTCATCCCCTCTTCCCTGTCCCCCAAGGACACTGCTCACAGTGGCCTGCTCTTATCAAAAACACCAGGTGCAATATGTGTGGCAGCCACAGAAGCTCACACTGTGCATGTACTTTGGCTCACTGGACAAAGGTATTTTGCCTTCTGCATCCTTTGCTGAAACAGAGCACAAGTGGAGGAGATGAGCATCTTCCACTCTCTGCTTCACTGCCTGTCTGGCCACCACTTGCAGATGAAACTCAGGAACCATCACAGGCCTTATGTCCTCCACTGTGTTCCCTCCCCCACCATGCTCACTGCCTCAGTTTTCCAAGGTACCCTGTGACATAAAAGCAATTCAAATCAATTGTGTAAAAAGATTAGAGGGTATTCCTTGTTATCCAGTCTTTTGAAAAACATAAAAGCAAGGACTGATTTCATGACTTCAATGCATTGTAAGCCACAGGAACTTCAAAACTTGGCCACTGCTTTTTGTTTTACATAAAAAGCTATCCAAACATTCAGAAGAATTGGCAAAAATATTTTGTTTGCTACTTGTCAAAACCAGATGCTTATGCTCTGTAGGAGAAAAATCCTTGCACACAAATTTTTAAATGACAAGGAAAAAATAGAGAGGGGATGTGGTCATAAGAAAATGAAAAAGTTTCTTTCCCTTAAAAAAAAACCCACACAAGTGCCAAAACATTGAAGAATCTACCCTCAAAACAAAGAAAAGTGCACAGGTACAAACAAAGTATTTACAAAGCCTTTAGTATTGTTTTTAACAGCTTAAAAAAAACACAAAAACAAAAAACCAAAACAAACAAACAAAAAAACAAAAAAAACAGAAACAGAATAGACAGAAATACATCTATGTGTGTATTTGCAAGAAGGGTGTTTCTACACCAGACAAGAGGAAAACAGCAGATTCATGTAAGGACACAAAGATGAGGCATAGAGAAATGTGTCCATAATTTTCCTCAGGCACATGCTTGGTCTCAGAAAAGGGTTTCCTGATACCAGCTGACATCCACACATCAAATGACATCTATGAGGCTGTATGGTAATTCAGAGACACTATCTGCAAGAGGATCAGAAAAGAAATCACCACCAAAAAATCCCAAAAGGTGCTTGGGAATCTCAGGCATTGCCCCTTCTGCTATTTCCTGCCCAGAGAGAAATATGAACAAAATAATGGAAATGCATCTGACTCTACATCCAGAAGGGAATGTGTGAAAGAACTGGCAATAGTTACTCTTTTGTCTCCACAGCAAAGGAGAATGGCTCACTTTTCAGGGCAGGTATACACCAAGTCTGTTTGCTCTACCAGCCTCATGCATATTTTTACGGTATCTATATGAAGAATATGCAAATAATTACACATGAAATGATGCCAGTTCTTTCCCTCCTTTGTTCTGCATGTACAAGTTGGAACTGAAAGTGTACAGCAGAGCAAGTCTCTACTCTGAAAGCTAAGAAATCTGATACAAAGAAGTTATGAAGCTCATATGAACAATACAAAAAAATTGAAGAAACTTGAGAAATAGTTAACACAGAATCAGTAGTAGATGGAGACAGCTTTAAAGAAAGCAAAAATACTGGCTGAAAAACACTTGCATCTACAGGAGAAGCTCTGAACCAGACCCAAGATGAGTAGCAAATGTGCAGAAGTGTGGCACCTGAAGCCCAAGTCACAGTATGAGGATTTCAAAGCAAGAAACAAGGCATGAAGAACAACGCTTGATGTCCCACACAGGAGATGTAGTACTCATGCCTGCCCTGGGGCAAAGCAGGGCTTGGGAACAGCTGGAAGAGGCAGAGGCTCATGCTCCCCTTTCAGACTGCCTCCAGTCAACAGGAAGAAGATCATCCAACAGGAATATGCCCTAGGCCTGGACTAACTTTTTGTGAAAGCATGGACATGGAGCAGGGCAGGGAGATGCTGCTGGATTGGAAGCACCAAGTCTGGAGCCCTGGTTTGGCACAGAGCTCTTGGCATCATAGCATCCAGAGTTCATGGCAGGTTCATTTGGGAAAGGCAGTCCTTGCCCATGGTCTGTATGGCTGGTGGGGCAAACCCAACCCATTGAGGGCTGCCCTTAGAGGCCTAAGGTGCCCCAAAACAGCCTCCTTCTTTTGGATATTCCCATTCAAATATGCAAAGGCAGAGAGTTCAAGCAGTGAAGGGATACATAATAAATCTGAGAAAAACAACTGAACTCAGAAGAAACCCCAAAGACACAGAAACCATGGCAATGGACAAGACCCCCACACATGCACACATGGTGACCCATGTCTTGAGAATGGATGCAACACCATGGCTGTGAACACAACAAGGTTTGTGCCTTCCTTGGCTGTGAAGCCACCAGCCATCCCTGGTTGAGTCCCCATGCTGTCTCCATTGCTGTGTGTCATGGTCACCTCATGGGGTAGTCTGTCACCAGGAAAGCCATCCCTCTACCCGTTTCCCCTTCCCAAGAGGTGCAGCCACCTCCAAAATGCCAGTATAACACTCCTGGCCTCTGCAGCACAAGGCTGAGGTTGTGACTGGCGCACTCCACAGCTCCCTGAGCATCACCCACACCAATATCCAGCACAGCACAGCTCCTCTTTGCTCATCCAGCAAGACTCTCCCACTTTTCTGGCACTGCTCTCCTGCCCTCCTTTGCCTGGCCTGCAGGGATGGCAACTTTCACACCCTAAAACTCAAGCACTAGGCTCCTCAAAGTGATGCCAGGCAACCAGCCAGGGAGGAGATAGGGTCTGGCCCACTCAGCACCTCCCCCTCTGCCTCTCCCTGCCTGCTCATCCACAAATGCTGGAGGTCACTGCACCTCTCATCCAGTATGTCCTGAAGTTTTGGGCTGCTCTTTTCCCTGTACCTCTGTGCGATGGAATCAGTTATTGCCCTCTTACCTTTGAGCACACAACTGCTGAAGAATTCTTATCTGTGTTTTACCCTCCCTACTTCCTTCTTTCACAACTGCCTGATTCATGCCTTTGGATTCAGGCGGCAGCAGCACACAACTGAAAAGCCACACACTAATAATTAAACGCTTCAGAAGTTTCCCAGTTTATTATAGGCAGACAGTGAACAACAAAATGAGGGCAGAGAAGCCACAAAAACATCAAAGGTCACGAGTCTTCAATTTTTTGCCAGTAACAGCAGCACTCTGGCACACAGAGTAGCCAGAAATTCAATCCTCACCCTCCTTAACATTTTTTAGTGCATCTCACCAGAGCATATTGTTTAAATGTATTAGATCATCTTTCTCCCCTCATCTCCCACAGAAAGATTAACAAACGTCAGTAGCTACTATATTTAGTAACTACTTATAACAAAATTTGTTATTTTTCAAACAGTTCCTGAGTCTTAAATAAGGGGGTAAACACCTTCTAAACCCGAATATCAGGATTCAATGAGATTATTACTACAAAGCAGCCTTTATAAGCCTTTTGTTTCCAAAATACTAAGTTGATTTACTAAGGCTTCTGCCAAGGGACTGCTAATTCCCACCTGGGATCAGGCTTCTCTAACAGTACAGATGATAGGGAAAGATTTAGGTAGTTGCAGCCAGTCTTACTAAAATGACACCTACACTGTAGTCAACAAACCTCAGAGACCTTAACAGGCTCTTTTAAATTAAAGAGAGCTGTGTAAACCAAGTTTGGTTTATGGGAAATGGGAAAGGCTTGCTGTAAATGAAACATTTCTAATTTAGAATTAAAACAAGGCAAACCTCTTTGTGATGTTCTTCACAGCACCACTACAAGCAGCATATATATCCCAGTGAACTGAATACAGAGAAGAGATCCTTTGGTAGAACAAAGTCATTTATGTCATGACTATTTTCTAGTAAACATTTATAATACAAGAAGAAACTCGAGGTAGAAAAAGCCTTCAGGTATATTTGGTCTCTTCTGGCTGTTATTTCATTCCAGTCTGACACTATTTGAGCCATTCTAAGCATACATAGTTTCAAAGAACATGAAAACACAGAATCACAGAACATTCTGAGTTGGAAGGGACCCATAAAGATCATCAAGTCCAATTCTTCAGCAAATGGCTCATGCAGGAATCAAACCTACCACCTTGGTATTATTAGTACCATGCTCCAACCAACTGAGCTTTGTTCTAACAGTTTCTTTTCCTTAAATATTCACAATATTCACTGATCCAAACTACATTACTCCAGTGTACATATATTTTAAACAGCAAAACTCTTAACAGAAGAAACCTCATCATGTTTCTTTCAGCATTGATCTTTCTAAGTCTCTTCATCACAGCAGTTAATCTGCAGAAATACCACAGTGATATACAACGTTGAAATTTAAAAAAAAAAAAGTTGCACAGATGTATTTATCAAGAATTTCACAAGCACCCACTTACTAGATATAAATAAACTACTTACCTACAATAAGGACCTTTTATTGTTTCTGCAATTTCTGTTACTCCAAACTAGTATGAGCTTCTGTCAAACTACTGGAGCAACTGGAGTTCAAAAGGAGAAATACTATTATGTCTCCTTCCTAAGAATCACCACTCTGTATTATTAGAGGTGGAGCTGAAACAATGCTCATTAGCTTCTACAGCATAAGTCATCATTAACATCTCGTTTCAAAGATTATTTTCAGAGGATCCCCAGAGGACTTTGCATTTGTACTGCTTGTTATGGGGCTGGCATCCATGCTGGGGATTGACACAATTTAGATAAAGAAGGTTTAACCTCCTTTAATATACAACCCATGCCCAACATGCTTTGTTTTAAATTCACCAGTTCAGAAACACCACTTCCCTCCCAACATGCACACACACACACTGACCTGCCTTTCATCTGTATTGACTTCTGTCATTCCCATGGAGTAACTCGGCAAAAGTTTCTCTTCTTTCTGCAAGTTACTGCTTGCTTTTACCGGAGATGCCGTCTTGGACTTTTCACCAATAATCAGTAGTTCAGGCACATCACAAGCTGCCTGCTGCTTACGAATAGACACCAAGGATATGTTTCTGTCGTTTAAAGTAGCTAAGTAGGACAGTTCCCTTTTCATTTTATTGTCCAGTTTTCTCTCCATTATTTTTCTGGACTTTAAATATTGCAACGCCAAAAAAAAGTTTCACGAGAGCAGTTATTTGGTGTCCTACAAGCCGCTCTTCTTTCAGTTACATTTACAACAGCTTGAAGAGTTCTGCTTGTCTAACCCATCTGCTTATTAGGCATTCATCAGAAAATCCCAGAAGCAACCTGTGATCCTTATGTAGGCTGCTTGCTGCACTCAGCTACCTGCTCTCCCTGCCAGTTTAAATGTTTCCCACCAATTGGCATCCCTCGTGCTTTCCAAACTGCGTCCGGCACTGCTGATCTCTGCACACGGCGTTGCAGCAGGCTCAGCCAAGGCTGCCTTTCACAAGCTGCTCAAACATGACCTGTGTGCAGCAGCCAGCGTGTAACCAGCCCACACAGACAGGCACTAGCTCCTTGTGGCCATGTGCACAATCACAGCTCCTGCACAGGGAAAACACTGTTCCATTTCCTCCTTCTATGAAATTACCGGGGGTTTCTTGGATAAAATGAAGTCCCTTCTAGCACTGAAAACATGCCCACGATTATCTAATTAGATAAGGCTCCTAGACCAAAGGTCTTTCATTAATTCAGAGCACAAGAACATTGATTCTTTGTACCAAGAGGGAAAACAAAAGAGTGAGTACAATATTTACACTTTCTAAAATGTGCCTCTTTACTGTCAGCAAGCTTTACTAAAAGCCAGTGAACCAAACAAAATTAAATGAGCAATTAATGCCAGAAAGGCAAGAAATAAAATATATTCTCCTTAAATTCTCTGGGCAACAGCAAGAACATCTAATTTAGACAGCCAGGCAACAAGAGTTACCACCACTAGAAGTGCCTTGAGCCAAGCCTGAATATATTTCTCTGGGATTTCCCAGAGCAAATTCCCAGCACAATGCCAATGCAGTAAGTGGGATCGCCTGTTCCCAAGTCCACAGTAGTGCAGTCCACTTCTGAAGGCACTGCTGAACAGGGCCGTGCATTTATGCATTTATAAGATTTATAAAATACAACAGATGTTATTATTCATTTATTAGCAATTTTCACCCTCCCTGCCTGTGCAGTGACATCACTGCACATTCAAGCCTTAAATTAATTGTTTAAATTTAATCAGAATCCCTTGGACTTGCTGGAAAAAGTAACCTATGCATAGGTTAGCACACAGGGTCAAAACCTTAGCATATCTCTGTTGTGTCATGAAAACCTGAGGAATGAATGACAGACACCTGACAAACAAATTAGTATAATATTTATAATTTCTATAATGCGCCTCTTTGCCATCAGCTAGCTTTACCAAAACCCAATGACAGGATAAACTCAGATTCTTCTTACTTCTGAAGGCAGAGGTACACCCCTCACACCCCTGTCACACAGAGACTGGTCCAGAAAGTCACCATGCAGGACATTAGCATCCCAGTTTGTCTCCCTGTCATAACTTCCCCACAACTATGGATCCTCAGTTCTTGGAAAGAGAAGGTCTTCTGCCAGGAAAGTGAAACTTCAAATACTGCTGCAGCACTATTCTGCATCATTGTCTTAATATAAAAAGTTTGTGATAGTATTAAACTTTTTTAAAGGGCTATTTTGAAAACATTTTGAGAAACAGCCCTTCTAAAGAGAATTACTACAAAGTGTCTGTGTTTGTTCTGTATTTATCAAACCAATAAGAGCCATATCTGATTTCAATTCAAACACCTTACTGAAAAATAAAATCATGCTAAAGGTGAAATAATTTCAGGAATTACTGATTTTAACTGGTTTTGAAATAAGCAATTGAAAATTTTACAATTTGACTTATGTGAAAAATTTCAGTAAAGCATATTTAAATACCACTGCTAAGTCTACATACTAAATGCATATATAAAGTTAAAAACTAATATTCATCCTTCTGAAAGAAAGAAGGCCTCTCATCCCAAGTCAAAGATATTCAGAAATACAGCTCTGTGTTCTAATTCCAAACAATGGCAATTTCAAATTCTTGATTTTCTAAGGGAACAGGAATTCCAAATTTTGACCATCAATAAAGATATATTTGATCCACTAATCTCTGACAGTATCTTTGCTATTAAAAATATCCCAAACCCTACTGAGCATGTTTCTGCACATAACTAATACTCAAAAATATGAAAAAGACTGTAAAAACAACTTAGGGATTTTTTTCTTCATTTCAGGTTCACCAGTAAAGCTCAGCTTAGACTGACAGAATAACAATATGTTGAATAAATATCTTCTCTCCAATTCCCCTCAATCACCCTTTTTCCCCCCCACAACTTCTGAGCAACCCTAAGATAAAAAGCTGTTTGTTTCTAATAACAATGGAGAGAAATTCTTGCTTAGTGCCCCACCGTCCTTTGCATTCAGCAGAGTCCTGAATACTGATTTGGAGATAGAGAAGAAACACATGAAGTTATGCTTTGAGCACATTCAGTTTACAAGATATTTATTCACATTAAAAAGAAGGATTTGGCTGGGGGGGAAAAAAAACTTGCTATAGTTCTTCAGACAAAAGGGACATAAGATAAATTTAAACCACTTTAAGTACCTAATTTATCTGTGGGCTGGAGCAGAGCAGTGTCAAAAGAAATCTGTGTAGCTGACAGTCTTGAGCAGCTCTTGGAGAAGAGGCTCCAGTCACAAAGCAGAAACCACGGAGAATCTTTTAACACTAATTCCTATTTACATTAATACACAGGACTGAAAGCTCAGAAGTTCTGCCCCAGTTCAATCACTGCACAACTCTCTTATGGTTCAGGAGATACTTTAGGAAGGGATCCAGTATTGGCATCTCAAGGCTGGCAACATCTGCCAGGGAAGTGAGGCAGATGCTTGGAATTAACCTCTGCAATTGGCTGCTGCACTCCAACAGACTGCTACTGGTTTCCAAATTATTTTCTCCATGCTATCTCAATTAATTGCCCCTTTAGAGTCTAAGCTAATTGTGTCAGCTGCAGACTGAGGGTGAGCATTTTACTTTAGGCTGAAATAGAAAAGGCAATATTGCCCTTCTCATCTGATAGCAGTACCACTCTGATTTAAGGGTGGACTTGGCAGAGCTTAGGATTTTCACCAGGAGGAATCATTCTGGCTTGATAGTATGAAATTCAGATGGCAAATAGAAAACATGCCTGCTGCCTTCGCAGCTTTCTGCTAGTGTTTGGCAATGGTGTTTGCATTTTCAAGTCAGAAAACACAGGACATTTCAAGAAAATTAAATCCCTTTGATTTAAAGGCTCAAAGCTGATCAAACATGGGTTTTCCCCTTTATTTTACCTGCATTATCACGCTACATGATAAACATACAAGAACAATGTGTTCTTATATAAATTTTCTTTCCCAGGTGCATTCATCCTTGGCTTTACAGGATACCCTGGCCTGCGTCTAATCCCTCTGCTTCTGTAACCAAAGAAAGCATAAATAGTCTTAACAATGCCTTGACAGATGAGATGCTTGGGTTGAAGGAAAAAAATGGGGACTGGGGGGTTAGGGGATCATATTTCTTTAATCTGCGTGGGGAAAAAGAATGAAAAACGAAGTTCACTGAGAAGGAGCACATGCGTTGGCTGTAGTTCACCAGGCACAAAGTGCTGCCCACCTTAGGAGCAGAAACACTGCAGGAGGTTGATGTGTCACTCCAAGAGAGGCATGAAACAAAGGGTGGAACAGCACAGAGGTGTTGTAGTCATGCCCTGTTTATGGCAGTGCAGCTAACAGGAACTAAGCCACAGGAATGACTCAAATAGTGAGCAAAAGCTGACCCTTGCTTCACTAACTCAAAATCCATATTACTTTTCATGCCTCTGCACATGCTAACAGACTAAAACCTGTACATGCTTTAAACATGGAATGACATCAACTTTAACTTTTGCCTTTTTCCCCTCCCTCAAAGAAAACAATATAGATACAGCTTAAGTGGGGCAGGAGGCTAAAGGAGACTCCACCTTTGTAAATGCCTGAGAAGTAGGATTCGAACACTCGGCTATACTGAGTCCTTCTTTGGGAAATTTAAAAAACAGCCTTGTATTTGTGACCATAATTTAGCCCAATAGAGGCATTTGTCAATTTAATGTCTTTGTCACCACCTGTATTATTCATATTTTGTGTATTCACACTTCTCAGATGGTGTATTTGTCACCAGCAACCCAGTAACAATCTGCATTTCTGTTCCTCAGTAAATGACACTATCTTGTACTTGGCCATGAGAGTTATTGAATGCCACCAGGCTTCAGATCTGGCTGCAAAAGCTCATTGGGCACAACCAGACTTACAGTGAATTGCGTTGTTTGTGCATCTGTAATGATGCTTCTCACTGAGCACACCTGGACTGCATTTCTGATGCTTCGAGCTGAATTGGCTATCACTCAGCTGTCCCAAGTCCTTGTGATACCTGAGATCCAGCTGGACTGAAAGGGGGTTATTTTGTGCCAAATCTCCTTCCTCTTAACACAACAGAAAAGTTAGCCTTACTCTTAAGGCAACAGTCCATCAGACAGACAAGAGGAACCAGTTCAGTTATGTGCACTTCATGTCAGTGCAAAGAGGGATGCATTGCTATTAATACATCACCCTAGAAATCCAGTCTGCTTTTGAATGTTAATAATTTTCCTGCTCTCCTCTTCAGACATCATTTTAAACCACCACAGTCATGCAATCATCACAAAATACAATCATACAATCATCACCAAAATACAATGAAGCATACAAACAATGATACGAAGCTAAACCACAAGTCATATTTGACAGTATTTTGAGTTATTCCTAATTTGTCTTCAAGACACAGTCAGCTAAAATGTTTGAATTCCTCCCTCCTTTCCCAATCTTAGTAGAGTTAGATTGTATTTGGTTTTAACATATACAATTCAACTGCAGGAAATGGAGCATTTAGTTAAAAAAAAAAAAAAAAAAAAAAAAAAAAAAAAAGGGAGAAGGGGGAAGTAAAGTAAAAACTCAAAGTAATATCACAAACAACAGTGTTGGCAACTCACAGGTATCAACAAATTGCTTAAACAT